CATAAATGTAGACTCATCGTCACATACCCCCAACTTATTCAAATAGAGTATTATCACTACCTAAACCACCCTTCAAGTATGCTACACATTATTGTTACTGAGCATACTTAATCCATGTTTACACAGTTTTTGTTTCTACTGCAGCTGCATTCCTGTATTTTTTTTTGTCCCTAACTCATAACACTGAATAAGACGCCTTATATCATCGGCGTTTGTTTACGTGCCAAACATGAATGAGAATAGAAAACCTTCTTTTTTAGTCATAAAACAATGTCAACAGTATTATTATGTGATTATACAGTAAAAAACAAAACAAAAAAAACTTACTTGCTTTATGGTAGCTTGTAAGAGTCAGTAAAGCCAGTGGTATTGGAAGAACAATATAAAGAATCGACTCTACGACGACTACAACGGTCAGCCATTTTGAGTGACTTCCACACATTTTCTATCATACGTTTCTTCATTTTTTTCTGACAACACTCTAGTCTTTCCGGATTTTCTCAAGTTTTTCTCGACTTTAACATGTTTGTAAACACTCCAGAGTAAGTCACTGATAATGCCATGTTGTTTTACGGACAAAATTATGGCAGAACGTTCGTCAACATGCTCACAGTACACGGACCACTCGACGAGTGTTTATTTGCACAGAAAACGGGTGGTGCAGGGGGTTATTTAAAGAAAACGGATATTGAGGAGCTGTCCACCAATCTCTTGTTCTTTTGTATTTATCGGCCAGGCAGGTTAGTGACAATTTAAAGGGGAATTTAAGAAGATCTTATGGAATAAAGATTATCATATAAGTTATATGTTATGTAAAGAAAATAATTTTATTTTTTATGATATTTCGTCTTGTCATTAGTTTTCTTTTTCATCCTAGATTTCGTGAAGGTAGGTTGGTCATGTATATATATATATATATATATATATATATATATATATATATATATATATATATATATATATATATATATATATATATATATATATATATATTATTTCATTTCAGGTCACTGGATGTGTGTCATGCAATAAAGTCATAATAAATGTGTATAAACAAAGTCTTTACATGACCAACCTACCTTCTCCGCGACCTTTGTAGAACACGGAGGAGGTATGTCACTGAAGTTGTGGATACCAAAACATGCATTTTAAATCCTCTAACAAAGAAACTCGCAATGTTTACTTTGTTTCTCGTGACACACGCCGGCATGCCAACACCGAATTTATGACTTAAGCACGAATACCATGGGCACCGTAGTCTCTTTGCGAGTGACGTCACGTAACCAATGTTTACAACTTCCGTGGGCCATTGTGAGCGGCAAAACATTGGTAGCCAACAGGAGCGACAAGTTGCTGGCTTCAAGTTTCACGCAGTATTTTGGCGTCTGCAAGAGACCGACACAGCCGAGATACCGCCAGGAATTACCCACTGTTGGCAGACAATGGCGATTGACTACCTGTGCACACCTGGGCAGAGTCGCAGAGATTCAGAGACAGAAAGATTATACCTGTTCAATATTCACGAAATCTCTGCTCTTACACTTAACTAAGAAGGATTTTTTCGTATTCTTTTAAAGTCTGTCTAGACAATAGCTAAGATAGAGTACAGGTACCAATGGTGACCGATTAGTTACAAGTCACAATAAATAGTGGATGCATCTGTACAATGATAAATGAGTGTGTTTATACGACCTCCCTCACCACCTGTCCCAGCTCTGACTGGCACCCCTCACCTGGCCGGCACTCCCTCCTCCTCCCAACTATAAATTCTGACTGGCACCTCCCCCCCTCCCCGTCGTCACTCCCCCACCTGGTGAAAAACTATAACTGACCCCCATGCCCTCTCATACACCAAGCCACCAAACTCACCCATATCCCCCTTCCATCCCTTCCACATACCACACCAAATCCTGAAGCACCTCCTTCTCCTCCGGCTCCCGACCACTTCCGTCTCCCCCCACCCGGTCACTCCCACTCCCAACTTCCCCCTCTCTATTCCGGCCCCATCCCCTTCCCCATGGCTTCCTCCCCTCCCCTCCCCTCCTCTAGCCATATCCCCTTCCACCCAGTGACGTCTACATCCACCGCCACCTCCAAAAGGTAATATTTTATATGGTGCAGGAGCAGAAAAAGGAAAGAGGATTAATTTACTCTTTGCTGCCACAGGTTGTTTGTTGTGGAAGGGAGCAGGGCTGCCAACCCAAGGAGAGTACCAGGACTACCAACCTATTGTGAGTACCAGAATAACCAACACCTCCAACATTCTTACTTCGGTGTAAGGGCCGGATTGATAGTCATTACGAAGCACAATGCCAATTGATAGTGTTCGTGCTGGTCTATTAATAGTCATCCCGATAAACGAGGTATCGGAAGGGAACCGTACGCATATCCCTGAAATGTTGGAAACAACATCGGGTGGCTACCCCCACCCGATAGCTGCCTTACGACAAATAATAATCATCATTATATTTTATGAAAGTTCTTCCAGTACTTTATATTACAGATGTCTACGTCGAATTATATTATTTTTTTTGATAAGAACAATTAAAAGAAGTGTTAATACGGATAAATGAACTTTCACAACACTGTTATGAACTTGAAACATTATTGGAATGTTGACATCACAGCTCCGACTTCGATGACGACTGCTGTCTGTGCTGTGAGCCTCATCTTCAATTAACAATTACTTCTGTTATCATTTAAGGTATGTTTCTTATCTTTATTCATTCATACAATATTTTTGTCGTAGTAGTAATAAAATTTCAACCATCTGAAACACAAAATACACTTATTTTTTCCGGAATGGGGCAAGCCAAGTGAGCTCACTCTATCTTGAGTTAGCAAGGAAAATATCACAGTTTTGGGCCCAGTAATATAGTTTAGTATAAACGTTGATATTTATTTTCAACAAGATATTAGCTATGGGGTACGATCTACAGTGTCTTGTGTGTCAGGCAGAAATATGCCGAAATAAGTAAGTAGAAGATTTTATTTTCTTTATTCTTTAACTTAAATATTTACTGTCACTAATAAAATAAAGAATAAGTACAGCTTACTATCAATACAAATAATTTGCTCTAAAATTCTGCAATACTCGGCTACATCACAGTTTTAATAATACACTCAACACTGCACTCTTTGGTTAAAAAAAAACTATTTACTTTTAATTTTTACAAATGATATTTTCATTCATCTAAGTATAACTACATTTTTTAGCTATATTCTAAACAATATCAGAAAACCACACAGCACAGTAGACAGTTTGGGAGTGACAATTAACTAAACTTGGTTGTCACAAAAAAAGCCTGTTGGATGCACAATTGATCAACTTGACGTAGTTTGGCTCTTAAGAAGTTTCTATGCAATTTGAAGTGTGTGTACAATGCAAGGCAGGGGCCCCCACTGCACTGACATGAGAGATCAGTTTTAACTTTGCCATCTGTATGATGGTATTCAATCGGCAACACTTACAGATTTCTATAAAAAACATTGTTTAATTGAAAAAATTGTGGATCAGTCATATTTAATATTTTGTTAGGTTAGGTTATGTTAAGTTAGGTGAAGTTTAAATTCGATTAGATTAAGTTAAAGTGAGGTTAGGTTAAGTTAGGTTAAGTTAAGTTAGGTTATTATTTTTTTTTAAGTTAAAGATAGGTTAGATCCATATTTTGTGCCAGTTATTCACTGGTAATGTGGGGCAATTTTCAAGGGGGCAGTTGTCCTAGAAACAAATTTTATTAAAAAATTTAAATTAAGAAATTATAAATAAAATGATAATGTTCTGATTTTACAGCATGCAGACCTACAGACAACACCTTGATGACATCGAAGAAATAAGGTATGTTTAGTCAAGTTGATGATATGAGGAAGCGACGATTTAATATAAGACGAGATCCTTTTCAGTATTATAATGAAAAGGAATTTATTCAGTGCTACAGAACATCTAAGGACAGCACCAGGGAGCTGCTTACAAAAATCAGACATCATCTCCCGCATATTCACAACGTCAAGACTTTGTGACAGTCTGCAGGCCGGTGGTTATCGAGGCTTTCTCCTTGGTTATAGTGGATATGCGTTGCGTCCATACTTACTCACTCCAATCCATAATCCAGCTAATGAAAGGCAGAGGAAATATAACAGATCTCATATTAAAACAAGAACTACAATTGAAAGGACATTTGGAGTGTGGAAGAGGAGATTTGCTGTCTTGCAACATGTAAGAGCAAAGCTGTCTACTACCAAAAATATTATAATTGCATGTGCAGTTCAACATAATATTACTTTGATTTCTGGACTTCCACTGGACATAGAAGACATGCATTAAGAAGTAATACGGCTTTAGTTAGTTAGGTAACTACTATGTTCCATACATTACTTTAAGTGGTGAACGATTCAAGTCATTAAATTTTAATAAAACAGTGGTTCTATATTATTTCTTTATTAAAGCCTTTTCATTCATTCTTAAATTATGTTGCCTTAAATTGTCTAATTTTTACTTCATTGAGGTCTTTAATAAGGAAGCTTACCTCAATATGTATGATAATTCACCTGTGAGGTAATATGAAGAAAACCAAAGGAAAGAAATATAGATTTATTTTTTCTAAACGTGCAAAAATTAAGAAAATAAAAATTATTTTTTCTATACAGGACTCTGCATTTCATTAATATCACAGCTTATATTATAGATATACATAAAAAAAATCTGAACTGCCATACTTTGTACAATATTTGCACAAAATAGAAATGCGGAGACAAATTTTCTCTTAAATTAAATTATATATGAATGCATAAAAATTAATAAACTAAAAATCTCCTATATCCATTACTTTGCATATAACAACTTGTATTATAAATCTACCCCCCCCCCAAAAAAAAGAACTTTAGTCTATAGCACAGTAAAAAGAATTGCAATTATTGAAAATCACAGCATACCTGTATATCATAAAAAAAAAAAAATCTTAGCTGCCATACTTAAGACAGCAATTGTAAACAATGGCAAAATAAAGAAATGTAGATTTATTTCCTTTAAATAAAATTATTTTAAGGTGTAAGACATAAGAAAATAAATTTATAATCTAGATGCCACTTTACGATATATCACAGTACCCCTGTATAGAGTAAAATCATAAACATTGCATATGACTGTATGTTATTACTCAACCATCATTCATAAGTTTTAGCCATGGCATCATATGCAGTTGATGCTTTCCTTAAACATGTATCTAACAATTCAAAAGATTTATTAATTTTTTCAAGCGTCTTTTCAATCACTCTAATTACAGTTTCACTTTATCTTTCTTTGAGTGTATGTGCTGATATTATGGCCTTCACTTTCAGTTCCTCCTCATGCTCTCTTTTCATTGTGTACAATTTATATTTGTGGAACTCCCCTTGTCTTTTCTCACAATGACTGGTGAGGCAGGAACAGAGGGTGAAATTAGAAGTCGAAAAACAGAAGTAGATGGTGCAGAAGACACAGTTGATAGCCCTGGTGTTGGAACAGGCAAAACAAGAGGATCATGGGAGTGAGGAAGTTCAGGTACACTTGCAGAAGTCTTCCGCATGACACGAGCACTGGGTGGCGATTTCTTCTGAAGCTAATGATAGTTTTTCTGGAGGACCACCACCCGCTCTCCTATATCTCTGGTTTTAGTTCTGAAAGAAACAGAATAATATAAATGCTTTATACAGTACTAGGCTACAGTCATATCTGCATTAAAATTTACTATGATATGCTGGTAAAAAGGACTCGTGCTTCTGATAAGTTTTTGGAGGTGACCCTTCAGAAACTGAGCATAGACCTGTTTGAAGCTATCTTGCCAGAATAATTTGGCTTGCTAAGTGTGTATTGCCAGGCAACTAATGGAAAGTACACTAACTCTGCAGAATAATATCTGTTTCATATAGATTTATATGCTGTATAGATTGGTTCTAGGATAATTGCTCCCCAATGCCAGTGAATAACTGGCACAAAACATGGAAATAACCTAACTTTAACTTAAAATAACCTATCCTTACCTAACTTAACCTATTTTAACCTAACCTATTTTTAACTTAACCTAACTTTATTTTAACCTAACCTAACTTTAACTCACATGACTCCTCACATGACCCGTCACTTAAATACTGTAATCCTACTCAATTTAGTAACCTAATGGCAAAAATCCTTATTTTTAAATACTAAACTTAGAAATAAGCATATACTTACTCCTTTTTATGTTGGAGCTCCTCTTGAGGTGCTTGGCTGTAAGAGGGAGTTGATCTTGGTTGCTGGCGTTTAATGAGGCAGTAATTTCATCCTAGGCCTTTCTTTTGCTGTCATTTATTGTGTTACAGTACTAGTAGACCTGTCCTCGACGACTGGCCTTTGCTCGATAAGGCGCAAAAGTGCTATGTGCAGGGTTACTGACAGGGCTGCAGAACGTTCTCTCCTCTCCATGTTTGATAACACGTGCGCAAACATTTTTGCCAAGTACACAGATGAAAAAATTGTCTGTAATTTGTTTAGAACAGATACTAAAGTTCAATTTGAAAAAAGAAGAAGATATTTTTCAATATATTTTTGTGCCGGTATAACATAACAACTAAATATCTCTCTAAACCGTCTTTCTAATTATGTGAAATAATGCATTTGGCAAACGCGCGTGGGAAACGTTTGTGCTGCCATACGAAACGAAGTGTTGTGTTTACACACGCTATATTCCTAGTTAAAGGCTCATGTAAGTGACTAGTAATATGGTACTGAGCGTCGGGTGGTTGCATCCCGACACACGATGCATTGTGATGATGATGGTGATCGTCATTATCGTCGTAATGACTAGGAATACGGCCGACAGGGAGTATCAACAATTCTCTGACACATGGAGCAAGACAGGACCTCCAACCTCTAGAAAAAAACAGGAATACCAACAAATCTGGCTGTTTGGAAGAGGATCAAAAGTACCGATGCTTCTTACAAACTATATGAAGAGGTGGAAAACTTCTTAGTATATGGGCGACCGAGGGGTGCCAACAGCTTAATAGTTATTCAGGGAAGGAGAGGGAAGCTGATCTCTAACCAGTTCCAGGGATACCAACCTATCATTTGGTTGTGTGAATAATATCAGTGTTGTCAGCCTATGGGGAGATTCTGGTCTACCAACTCTCCTAACGCTATTTAAAGAGATGGCAGGGCAACCAATTTGTAGGGAGTTACATGAGTACCAACTACCCCGGACACTGGTTAGAGAAGGAAGGCCAACTCATGAGCGGCTACACAGTTGCCAAAAAGGAAAAAAACTCTTTCAGCATCAGAAAGAGAATTCAGTGTTACCAACAAGGGACAAATATTTCATTAACCGTCATAGAAAGAAAACAGTGTTGCCATCACACACACACACACACACACACACACACACATATATACCATATACCATATATCACATATACAGTATACAGTATATATAGTAGTAGTAGTAGTAGTAATTGGCAACACCGTCACCACCATCTCCACCACCACTACCACCACCATCACCACCAACACCAATACCATTCCTATCACCACCACCATCACATCCATCACCACCACCACCCCTACCACCAGTACAACCACCACCACCATCCCTACCACCACCACTCCTACCACCACCACCAGTACAACCACCTCCACCCTTACCACCACCACCCCTGCCACCACTACAACCACTACCCCTATCATCACTACAACCACCACCACTTCCACCACACCATAGTGCTCCAACTTTAACGAGGTGGCCTTAATTGTGTGGTGGTGTAATTAATGGTGATGAGCGAGGCTGCCTCCCTCCCACACTTGTGACCCTCGTTATCAAAACTTAATTCCCGCTGTTTTGACTACACCCCCCCCCCCCGGCTTCCCTCCCGCCCTGCCACCCAGCCACCAACCGTCACCCCCCCGGGGCCATTCCAAGCTACCCACACTGACGCCTCCAAACGCTCCTCTATGGCCCATCGCCAGTCCAAAAATGGCATACTGTATAGTGCTGTTCTTGTCGGTCTGTCCACTGAAGAACCGTGTAATAATAATAATAACAATAATAATAATAATAATAATAATAATAATAACAGCTTTAAATTTAGGCACATCAGCAGAGGTTCTCGACAGGTCCAGACACACACACACACACACATACAGTACCAGTTGACGCTTCTCTCTCCTACCTGGCCAGACAGTCACTACACTTGACACACACAAATGTCTTACTGTTCACTACAACAACACAACAAAAGTAGATCACCGTTACCTCCATTTTATTACTTTCTTCTCACATTGGTTAAGTTTCTAGTTAACTTCTGAGTTTAGCTTTGACGTTTGAGGATTGATATATAAAATACAAGAAAATTTAGTATCCGAATTTTACATACATATTCTTTATAGTCTTTTCGTGTTTTTTTTTCTTTCTTTTTTTTGCCTTATAGCTGAAATTTATATCTCAGTTCCCGACGCTTTGGCAACACGCCCGCCATTGACTCCATAATTCTGTATATTTATTCGGATATAGGCAGTGGGCAGTGAGGGAGTACTACCGTATGGACTTATGGGGAGACGAAGGTGGGGGTAGGGGATACCAGGAGCTCTCCATCCTAAATATCGTGAGTTTTACTTTCTGCCTCCCTAAAATCAGGTCACCGGTCTACCCTTCCTTCTTCTTTCATTTACTTCCTTCATTCACCCATTTACTTCCCCAACAACACCAAGTCACCGGTCTACCCTTCCTTCTTCTTGCATTTACTTCCTTATCAACATTACTTCAACAACAAAGTCACCGGTCTTCCTTCCTTCTCATTTCATTTACTTCCTTCATTCACCCATTTACTTCCCCAACAACACCAAGTCACCGCTCTACCTTCCTTCTTCTTTCATTTGTTTCCCATTCACCCATTTACTTCCCCCAACAACACCAGGTCACTGCTCTACCCTTCCTTCTTCTTTCATTTACTTCCTTCATTCACCCATTTACTTCCCCAACAACACCAAGTCACCGGTCTACCCTTCCTTCTTCTTTCATTTATTTCCTTCATTCACCCATTTACTTCCCCAACAACACCAAGTCACCGGTCTAACCTTCCTTCTTCTTTCATTTACTTCCTTCATTCACCCATTTACTTCCCCAACAACACCAAGTCACCGGTCTACCCTTCCTTCTTCTTTCATTTACTTCCTTCATTCATCCATTTACTTCCCCAACACACACATATATCTTCAGCTATCCTCTTCATCAACAAAGATACGGCGGCTCTTACTAACACCATCACACATTATCTCAGGTCCTCGTGGGGTTCTGTACACTATCAGCTCACGGTCGACAACATCCACGTACCGAACCAAACACCATCGACACATTGCCAAAAAAAAAAGATAATACCATTCCTTTACATTATCGACCAGCACCTTACGCCTCTGCTATACCACGATGACAAACTCCTCGACTATAACAATACGTACAATTTAAACTTTTAATTAATCTGAGCGTTAAAATTGGCAATATTATTCTACCTTTCATTTGGGTTGATAGGTAATGTATTAACTGATGAATAATTCTAAAAAACAAAATTATTGATACTCAGAGGGAATATTTAGTATATAAGAATAATTGATGCAAAGCTGTATATGTAACTATGACAATTGTGAAAGTGAAAAATGTAAAAATAAAAAATCTTACATAAATCAAATCTCAAAATGGCCAGACTTCTTTTCTTATCAAATGACGCAGCGAGAGATGTGACAAGTTTCACTGTCAGATCTATTCAGCGAGGCGTCCCCCCTTGACAAAGATTGAAGATACTTGAAGCAGGATGGATATTTTGAATTGTTAGAAGTTATATAAGAAAAACGCTACTACAAAAGAAGATTAGAAAAAATAATGAGATCTATATATCTAACATACAAAATTATTCTACAAGTAATAAACAAACAGGAAGGAGGAGCCGCGTATCTAATATGTCAACTGTTGTGAAAGAGTCAACTGTGTGTCAACACTCCCGTCCCACTACATCATTATGCAAGACGTGTGTGTGAGTGTGTGGGGGGAGCTGTCTGCCACCACTGGATTAGCATGTGTCGTCTCAACACCCGTAGGTCAAGATTTATGGTAGTAGTTGTGCAGTACTACCACATGACAAAGGCTCCACCAGACGTCTTTGTACACGACAATGGTGTGGACGAGGGGTTGAGAAGATGGTGGTGCACACACACACACACACACACACAATGTACAGATATCAGTGTATACAAAACCATCATCGAGTGCTTAGAACAACAGCCTCACGACTCTAGTATCAAGGAGGGAAGAAAATACCGTGGAAGGAGAAGGGGCAGGAAGATGAAGAGGACGAAGAGGGGAGCAGCAGGAAGAAGATAAGGAGGAGAAGGGGGGGGGGAGGAGCAGCAGCAGAAGGAAGTGGACGATGATGACATGGGTAAGGGCAGTGTAACATATTCTTCGCCAACACCCAAATCTGACGTGCGAGTCTAACATAACCCTCCTCTCTCTCTCTCTCTCTCTCCTCTAACCCCCTCATCACCCCTCTCCTGGGTTTTATGGGCTACTAAAGTATTTTCACTTAAAACTGAGGGACCGTCAGAATAGATTGGACCACCATTGCAGATTTTCTAAAAGTCAAATATTCCCGGTTTCTGTGTGTGTTGTTGTCTCTCTCTTCCTCCTCCTCGTAGGTGGTTGGTTGGCGGGCGGGACGTAGTTTTTTACCACACTGAAAACTGTATAGGGAATGATATGTAAATGAGGGTAGGGGTGCGTGTGTGTGTGTGTGATGGGGAAAGAGGAATTTACAAGGTGCTGTCTACTACTACAACTACTAATACTACTCGTACTATTACTACTAGTTTCACTTCTACTTATACTTTTTTTTATTGGCCTCCAACCTCTCTTTATAGCCATACATTTTCCACACATTTTATAACTTAACTATTCTAATACACAAATTCTACTACTACTACTATTATTCCTGCCACTTGTATCACCACCCAGTGCCTATACAGAGGTGCACAAAATACACACACACATACACACACACACACACACACAAAGACATAAAGTTATTCCTCCTCCTCTCCTCTGCCATTCCCCACCTCATCTTCCCACCCCAGTCACCCCCCATTACCATCTACTTCCCCATGATCCACAAACTGTCCCCATACACGCGACACTCTTCCTCTCCCACCCTCCTCACCTCCTCCCAGCCGACCATCTTGGAACACTTTTGTAAGGCGCTTCACTAAATAATTTGGTGGACAATAGCAGTAAGGAGAGGTGGTGTGTGTGTGTGTGGTGTGTGTGTGTGCGAGGCGGCATCTCTCTCCACCTATCCAGCATTATTTGAAGACCGGGATATTTTGCGCCTAGAATACCGTGCCGGGGTAATGGTATACCAGTGCAGTTGGCAGGTTGTCCGATCTTCCTGGGC